CCCTGGGGTGTGTAACGTGGGGTGCTGCAGGGCGTCACGGCACCCAGCACAGCACTGGCCAGCAGCTCCAGCCCTTCCCCGTGGGCCTGCCCAGCCCTGGGTGGCGTCCTGCTCACCCCATGAGGCTGCAGCGGGTGATGCAGGGGGCCCCCCAGCTGCCCCCATGTCACTGTCCGAGGCAGAGATGTTAAGTGTTGTTCATTAATTAACCTAGACACCAGGTGTGTTTTAAAAGGACTGATTTTTGTGAGGGAACGTGTTTTTTTTTTCCTCACTGTGCTAAGGGACAGAGCAAGGGGATGCATTGACCTGCCCCAGTTCTGGGTGCCCAACAGCACCTGCCTGGTGCCCCCTCCGGCCCCACGTGGCATGGAGATGTTGAACTTGCTGACCACGTTACATGGGCTCAACTGGGCTGAAGTTGTCCTGAGGCTTGGACACCGCCTGAGGCTCGGCAGACGCAGTGCAGGGATTTGTAAGTGCTGACTCTGCCGGCAGAGCTGCTTGAACTGCCCGGGTTGCTTTGCCGCCTTCCCTGTAGCCCTGCACTGGGCAGCACCGCCACCTGCACTCACTGGTTCGTCCTTGCAGGGCAGGGTGCGCGTTGGCCTGGAGACCTTGCTAGAGGCGGTGGCTGCAGGCACGGGGTGGGGGGGCCTGGCAGCCTGGACTAAGGCAGGGGAAGGAGAGTGCTTTCCTGTGGCACTATGTGACCCAGAAGAGCCTGCAGCCTGCGTTATGTCTATAGGGCTTAAAATCCCGTAAATCATGATGCATGGCAGCTTCCCCAGCCAAGCGTGGAGCTCTTGGCAAACAGCAAGAAGGCTGGTCTCTCTGGAGCTAGGCAACCTGCCGTGTGCTCACCTCGCTCCCCAGCCTCAGACGTTGCCGGAGGGGGCTGCTGGCAAAGAGGGTTGCAGGGGGCAGTTGCAGGGGCAGACTAATCCACAGCATAGCTGTTTCCCCTAGGTATCAGTGAGCCCTCTGGGCTCTGGCCAGCCCTGGGACCATGGGGCCAGTGAAGCGCATTTGCTGCATTGGGGCTGGCTACGTGGGAGGGCCCACATGCAGCGTCATTGCCCAGATGTGCCCAGAAATTGCTGTCACAGTGGTGGATGTCAATGAGGAGCGTATTCGGGCCTGGAATTCGGACCAGCTGCCCATTTTTGAGGTGAGGCCATGCCAGGCAGGTGAGCTTCTCAGGAGGGTTTGCACAGCCCCGTGCCCCTGCACCACGGGCCTTTGCATGCCATGTTTTAGCAGAGCCCAGAATCTGGGTAGGGTAACCTCGTGTGGCTGGCTGTTGGGGTCCTGCTGTTCCCCTTCTTCAGCAGCTTCCCAAAAAGTACGGCTCTGGGTGCTCATGGGTGTTC